CTTTCCCATCATGATGCCTTGTCCCCCTCTGTAGTAAGAACTTGTTAGCATTCTAAATCTCTCTTGACCAGCTGCATGATCAAACAAGTAGAATCAACCAAATATGGCTAACCATTGTTACCAATGTGCAGTTAGGCCCAACTAGGCAAGGAGTTTGATTGAAATGTATGTAATTAAATATCGTGGGATCTAGAAATAACCCCCTCGAGGCGCAAGTACGCAACCCTGTATCCTAAATGGCAAGCTTCAGCCTTTTACCCTCGACTGTGACATACTTTACCATTAAATCAACACCTACATGAGAAGCCAAACAATACATGAAGCCAAAAAACTTAAACATGAGATAAGCTCGTCCATGGTTGTTGTTAAGGACATTTTTAAGCATGACATCCAAATCATAGTATCAAAAACAATCAGAATCATTACTGAGTAAGTAAAAAAGTAATATTAGAACTCATTGTGAAAAGAAATAGACACACCTTGTTCGGTTGAATCTAAAAATTGAAAACAACATACACTGACTGATTCCGAAAGATTGTCCTTATTAAATCAACACTTAATCTAATTTATTTTGGTAATTCTTTGATTAACTCAAACGGTTTACCCACTATGAAACTCATTAAAGTCAAAAATAATAAAAGTAGGATTTCAAGGTTTTATAACTTTAAAATATTTTATATTTAATTATAATAATTTCAAATCATAGTAAAAACACATACAAAAGTATATGATTTCATTTGATAGCCAAAACTCTTGAAAATCGATTGAGAAACTCCAAGTAGGCCAACATATAGGGATATGTCGAGACATGTGCATATAGCCTATCCCTCTCCATGTCACATACCACATAATGTTGCACAAAATTTGATAGCTCCTTATTGTCATTAGACAACACATAAGGATAATTTGTCTCATGCCTCATTTCTTCACCTGACGTTCAATTAAGGTGCTTTGGGTGTTTATTGAAAGCTTTATTTATATACTAGTTAGTGAAATGAACTTTATTTTCAAATAACTTCACATAAGAAAGTCAAGCACTTAAACATATTTTTATCACTATTTCATATTTTCACACAATAAGGGTGCTCAAAACCCAACACTTGTGCTAAAAACCACTCCCAACACTTATACCATTTTTAATGGATCTAGAACTCCTTATGCAACATACCATGATTACAATATAACACTTAATTATTATTTTTAACTTTTAACCCCTTAATATAAAAAAAACAATAAGGGGAGATTTGTCATTGCATAATTCAAATATTTTAATTATTGCAACATCATAATTTTCTTTATATTTGTATTAGTATTTTAGTTTTAACAAAAATAATTAAGTTTACATATAATAATTCCATGGCACAATTACTCTCACTTAGCTTGATTAATTAGGGTTAGATTTTTGAGAGGTTGCAAACTCTATATTATACAGCTGAGAAATTGGATCATAAAGCATTCGAATGGACTAAGCCTATACTAATCCTATAGCATTTTGTCAAATTCATAAGCCTTGATTCATCCTTAAGATGTAGGAATACACAAGAGGCACAAATTAAATCAATGGACAAGCCAAGAGAATTTAAATAAATATGCTTCCGCAAAGCAAAAGCCTCCCTATTATGGGATTGTGCTAATAACTACTGTAAAAGAATTTGGATCACAAAGCATAACTGATTTGTATGATGTCTCGTAAAGCTCTTAACGTGGTTTTCGAATGCCGAGAGGAAAAAAAAAAGCACTTACTAGCAACGCGGCGTTCACTTTCATAAATGAATAGAAAAAGATTGCTGATGTTTTTTCGACTTATCCAAAATAAACAAGAAAAATTTTATTTTAGGAACCAAATATGCTCATCGTTTATTCATTACAAATCAAAGATAGTGAAATAAAATTAAAATCTAAACAAAAATTACCCCGTTGTCTTTAGTGGCTTAAACACGTTAAAAGACACTTGCACATTTTCATATTTAAGTTGTTCATTTTTCATACTGAAATGGTTAATTTTTTTATTAGAGTTGTTTATACATATAACTTGATTTAATTTTATTCTTAATATTGTTGTCATGGTAAATGAAGTTATAAATTGCTTTTATTATAGTTGTTTATTGTCCATATCAAAGTAGTTATTTTTCTCACAAGAGTTGTTTATCTTCACTTGATTTTATTTTTGGTATTGTTATCATAGTAAAAAAAATTTGTAATTTTTTTTATTGTAGTTGTTCATTATCCATGCTGAAGCTATTATTTTTTTTATATGAATTTTTTATGCGCATAACTTTACTTAATTTTATTTTTTATTTTGTTATCATAATAAAAATAGTTGCAAATTTTTCATTTCTCATACTAAAGTGATTAATTTTTTTTACAAGAATTGTTGGTCTACATAACTTCACTTATTTTTATTTAAATTATTGTTGTCAGAGTAAATGAAGTTATAAATTTTTAACATTAAAATTAAAATTGTTCGCCCTCTGCAAATGATCAGTACTCACATGCATTAGTTCTCACTCTCACAAGTTGCATCTTAGGCAGTCATGCTCACCGTTCTCGGTCTCTCCATCTCTCAACATCGTTCTCAGTTTTCCATCTCCAACATTCAGTATGCTCACCATCGCCGCCATCTATGTTTGCGTTATGTTTGCGTCATTCGTTGTGTGGGTTTTGCGGTCAATTGAAGATTTTTCTAAAAAAATAAAATTAAAAGATAATTTTCTTAACATTTTAATTTCATTTCACTCACCTAGGGTATTCATAAGATAAGATGGGACAAGATTAGGATACTCATATCCCATTTATTATCTCAAAAAGTAATCAGAATTAAATTTTTATCTTATATCTCATCTTATTAAGAATTAGGATGGGACAAAAACAAGATTGAAATGTTCCAGAACATGAAAAAGACCCAAATAATAATATTTGTTAAAATATTAAATTGCATAATTTATTAAGTTTAAAACAAAAACAATATAAACATATAAACCACAATAATTTAAAGTCAATGTACATATAAGATACAATACATTATGATAGCGACTTAAGTAATCTCCAATCAAGAGACAAGCCAAGGATAATATTAGGTTATTATTTTCCTTCTTTAGTTAAAATATTTGAAACTATTAAAAAGTAAACAAGAAATATAATATAAATAAAAATTAAAATAAATTATATTAATATAATTAATATATTATAAAAATAAGAATGCTTTATGTGTCGTTAAAATTGTTAGTATCAAAACCTTTTAGTTGTAAATAGAGATTGCAAACATTAAAACATTAAAATTGCTTTATGTTTTGTCCCAAACTCTTTTTCATTTTGTCCTGCTTTTTTTTGGTTAGGAAAGACCCACCGTAATATAATCAGGATGGAGACAAGGTTAAACATACTTGGTTTGCAATGAAATTTTAGATTTTAAGGGATTATTTTTTTGTTATATTTGGTTGAGAAGTCTGGACTGAAAATTTTTCCTAAAATTAAACTCATCGATCAGACGCCTTTCCCATCGCCTGCTGGCCATTCTGCAAAACTCTTCCTTACTCTCGCCACTCATATACTCTGCTTCCCGCCATCGGCTCGCCGTCGTTCAGGGTCGTCTCTCTCCCACCGTCGTTTCTTATTTATTTCTCCACCGTTCACTTGCTTCATCTCTACCTTAAATGAAATTTTCTGTATTAAGAGAGCGATCTGATCCAAGTCCATGGTATTCTGAAGCCTAGGCTAAATTTCAAACACGATGAAAATGAGGATTCAAGCTAGTCTTCAAAACAGCAAGGAAGGCAATGATTCAAAACGAAACAACTAAATCACAATAAAGAATGAGAATAGGAAAGAGATGTATTCAAATATATACATGTATATACTTATAAATATATTACAGATAAATATCTAATAACATAATCATATATTTTCCAATCACCCATAACATCAGTAGAATAGTTTGTCTTGAGTTTTTGAAGTATTGTAAAGAGCTTCTATATATAGAATCATAAAAGAAATTGACTTTCCTTATTCTTTGGTCTCAACGTGTATAGAATCAAACCTTCCTAAATGCTTAACGTCTGAGTAACAATTTTTTCATGAACCCGCATCTCCAATTGCTGTTTTTCATCGTGTATCAGTCCTCCGAAAGTTGTTTATTTAGAAGATGATTGAGTTATCCACATTTAACCTCATCCACATCCTAGATCTGGTTTTCTCCAATTTATTTGCTAGCTGCCCACCTTGTTTTAAATGCTCAAGTCTTGCATTACGTGTGGTTTAACAAGCTATATCCCTCCCCATGTAATCCCCTCAACGAGAGCTTCACAGATAATTCAAGGAAATGAAGCTTCGATAAAAAGAAGGTAAATACATGTAATTTTTTAAAACAATGAACTCATTTATCCGGCTTTATGTAGCACGATATGATCAATCTAATTTTTTTTTAATCAAAAAGTAGGAGCCAGTAATCATGAATTAAATACTTGAGTGGGGACAAAAGTCATGTGGAGGTCATAACAGGTCATGATCTTATTTAGCGGCTCAGGTCTGATTAATGTACTAATATTCTATGATGGGCTTGCGCACTCACCCAAATCAAGTCACTATATAGAGCTATAGGGACCAGGCGGCAAAAGTATTTATTTATTTTTTAAAGGAGGAGTCGGCGACAATAATATAAAATATTGGTTGGCAAAAAAAAAAACACACACACAATAGAAAGAAGATATAAAATATTGTATTAATCAAATCATAAAAAATAAGAAATCAGGACGATCCCGTGATGAGCGGTTTCCCGTGATGCAAGGCAGCGAGCCAGCCGCTTGCCCGAAAAAGAAATTTAAATCTAAGGAAATATAAATATAAATAATAAAGATTTAAATAGATCGAATGGAAACTCGCCACGTAGAAACTAACAAGACTTAAAACCGAACGTATGGGACCCGCAAAAGAAATTCTTGAAAAGTTGCAATTTCTAGCTTTCCAATAAAACGCGCTCGGATGCTCAATACCGCAATAATTCGCGCTCTCTCTTTCAACTTCTTTCCTCTGCTCGGCCCCTCCCATCCTCGAGCTCTCCTCCACGTTGGCCTCACGTTCGCGGTTCGCGTATCACAAGCCGACAACACCATATGCGTTTACATGCTATTGCTCACTGTTTCATTTCCAAAGTCAAAAGCCTAACACCCTTTCCTTCGCCAAAGTTCGGCCACCACTCTTCAGTTTTCACGGCTTCGAAATGATGTACTGCAATTTTGATAAAGTTTATATGTCTTTCATGTGAGACGCAGTACTAAAACATAATAAATACAGTGGCGTTATGATAATAACTCTATTCTAGACATTCTCATCAAATCCGAGGTACTATTCAACGGGAGAGCAAGGGATGATCGCAGCATCGCGAACCCCGCCACATATATTTCTATGATTTTATTGACGTGATCAAGGAATCGGAAGAAGGGTGTTTTGGTGCTGCCATGTCGGGTATTTTCACGAGACCCTCATGGGCAGTGATGTTTCTATTGTTGGCTCTGGTAACGTTTGTCTCGCTCCAGCATCCCGAGATGACGGTTTTTTTAATGCGGTTACGTTCGAGTTCGTCGGAAGCCGAAACCGGCGCGTCAATGGATTCTCAGAGCTGCTCCAGGTTTTTTCAGGGTGTCACCGGAAGAAGGTTTGTTATGTCGATCAAGGATTTTGGCGGCGTTGGTGATGGGAAGATTTCGAATACCGAATCGTTTAGGAAGGCAATCCGATACATGCAGCGTTTCGGAGGTATGGGGGGGTCCCAGCTGAATATTCCCAGAGGAAGATGGCTCACTGGAAGTTTTAATCTCACCAGTAATTTCACGCTTTTTCTTGAAGAAGGAGCTGTTGTTTTGGGTTCTCAGGTGCGCAGGATTGTCTTTGTTCTTGACGTTCTTTATTTATTTTTTTTTTTTAACTCTTCTTTCAGTTTTCATCTGGCTCGGTTTTTGGTTAGATGTGTTTTATTCTTAAGCTGTAATTAATTATGTTCCAAATTTGCAACTTAAATTCAACAGCGTACGGACATTTGCCTTGGCTTCTTCATGCATACGTCTGCTTGTCATCTTAATTTGTCTTCCTGCTGAAAGATCAGATTCCCTCCTATCGCAGTAACTGAAAAATAAAAAGGAACATCTTCTAGAAAACTGTCTTTTATGGTTCTTTTCCGGTATTCACAGTTTTTGGTTGGTGAAGACTCCAAATTTTCTTGGCTACTTACTCATATTGTTTTATTCCTGTTCAATTGTGGCATATGATTATTGCTAACGAGGGCGAGCATTTTTCCTGAGTCCACGTTTCCGAGGGAAAAGAAACATTTGTTCTTTTGGTTTTCTGAAAAAGGCGAAAGGAAAAATAGAGAAGTCATGGCGAGCATTTGACTTCTTATGGGACAAATTTGTGCGACTATAAAGTCCTTTTACATACTCAGTTTTAAGCTTATACTTATAGTAGCTTTGACCATACTTTTGGAAACTTGATGGATCTATGATTCATAAGCGTAGGGCGGCACTTGCGGCCATATGGTGATGCAGACGAGTGATTTTCAACAAAGTGTTGAACGGGCGAGTTTGAATTTACATGTCCTGTTTACTTTCTTCTTCCAATGCTTAGACCCATGATTCTATGCTAAATCTAGACAAGCCCCTCAATGAGTTTATGAAATCAGACACTCACTCTGGCTAACCTGTTTATAGTACTTGAATAACTGTTATTTATTTATTTATTTATTTTTAATAATTTCAAAATTTTAATTCCTAGGATCCAAAAGAGTGGCCTGTAATTGAGCCTTTGCCATCCTACGGAAGAGGGAGAGAGAGGTTTGGAGGAAGACATATTAGCCTTATACATGGAAATGGCCTTCAAAATGTTGTCATCACAGGTACAAGAGCTTGTACTCGTTTGCATTCATTTATATCACTGGTCAAAAGTTTTTGAAGATAAAATGTGTGATTATGTTTTAAATGACTTCCATGAGGGGTCCAGATTCAGAAGAGGCAAAGATTACTCTTGTTGGTTAAACAATTAATATGGTTAACTATTGCTGGTGCCTTCAAGGGTATTTAGATAGTTATATGGTTTTGCAGGACAAAATGGGACAGTTGATGGTCAGGGAAACATTTGGTGGGAACTTTGGTGGAACAAAACACTGGAGCACACAAGAGGTCACCTCCTTGAGCTAATGAACTCGGAAAATGTTCTGGTCTCAAACCTCACCTTTCGAAATTCTCCCTTCTGGACCATCCATCCCATTTACTGCAGGTTTCATCTTCTTGACTTTTTGTCTTTTCAAGTGCCATAACATGACTTCAAAACTTCAAATGCATTTATGGTTCTTCCTTATCAACAAAGTATTTTCAAATTTTTCTACGCAACAGCCAGCTCTTGGTATTTTGTGAAATAGTTTAGTTCAAATTCACTGGGTGTCGTTTCGTACAACATTTCACATTACGTTAGCATTTGGTTCTAGGTGTAAAAGATATAGCTTGTTGAAACAAAAAGTGGACTCCTCTAAAATAAGTTTATGACTTGTCCGTCCTTAGCTTTGTAACTGCAGAAACATGATCAACAGCTATATTTTGTTTCAGAAATGTTGTTATCCAAGGGATGACAATCTTGGCTCCTTTCAATGCCCCGAATACTGATGGCATAGACCCAGGTTTGTTCCTTTTTAATTATTTATTACTTGCATTCTGTTTTCCTGCTTAGCTTTTGGCTTATCATGCATAAAATCAAGTAAAAAAAGGGCATACATGTTATATTCATTTGCTTGTGAATTTTCCATCTGACTATGCAGACTCAAGTACCAACGTGTGCATTGAAGATAACTACATAGAAAGTGGAGATGATCTTGTAGCCATCAAAAGTGGATGGGATCAATACGGAATCACCATGGCCCGTCCAAGTACCTATATTGTAGTGAGGAGAGTTTCAGGCACGACGCCAACTTGTTCTGGTGTAGGAATAGGCAGTGAGATGTCTGGTGGAATTTCAAATATAACAATTCAGGATTTGCATGTTTGGAATTCTGCAGCTGGTGTGCGTATAAAATCTGATTATGGTAGAGGAGGTTATATAGCAAATGTCACCATTAGTGACATTAGAATGGAGAGAGTCAAGATACCCATCAAGTTTAGCAGGGGTTCAAATGACCATCCGGATGATGGGTGGGATCCTAAAGCAGTTCCCAAGTTTAAGGGCATTTTAATCAGTAACGTGACAAGTGTAGTTTCAGCAAAAGCTGCACTTTTGGAAGGTATAAAGGATGCTTCATATGAAGATTTGTGCTTCAAAAATATTTCACTGATTGGTGTGCGCTCATCTGCAGCATGGCATTGCGAGTATATTTCAGGCTTTGCCAGCGAGGTGTTTCCTGTGCCGTGTCCTGAGTTGCATAACAATGGCACTTCATCCTGGTGTTTACCTTCATGATTTCCCGTGAAATGATAATAAATGTTTCCAACATGCACCGGAAAATCAGAGGGCCTCCGTTGTTACACCTTGAGAAGTTGACTCCTGCTTAAGCCAGATTATTTGAGGTTTCGAACCACTAAAAAATGTGACTGAATTGACCTTAAGCCCGAATGAAAACTGATCTCCTAGCCCTGGTTGGCGCGGATGAATTGCTGGTGGGTTTATGATTGCAACACGCAAAGTTTCATTGGATTGGTATCATGCTCTCTTACTCCTCACGGTAGCTAAAGATGTATGCAAGTGCGCCTTAATGTGCTGAGGTGTATAGGATGATCCAACTTGTCATTATATACTGAATTACTGATGTATAAGGATTTTTGCATATTTGGGAGAGAGGGAGGAGTTGAATATACAGGGACACTATACAATGTAGAAAAAATAAATTTGATTAACAGGAAAGCTCATTCTTTTTAGCTCAAGATGGTTTATCTGTTTCCATTATAGCGTTTCTTAACATGTTCATTTACTTTTAAAGCGAGCGGGGAATTGATGTGTCAACATGATCCTAGATAACTTGAAATATTTTTACAGTGCAATGACCCAGCTATGACAATTCTGTATTTAGATTTTATATTTTTATACTTTATTGAACCAAGTGTATACTGTAACATAATTCTGCCGAAACAAGGTGAGGAGACAATTCCCAAGGGAATGGAAGTTTCATCTTATCTCTATTTCTCTTTTCATTTTTCTATTATTTCACTCTAAGAACTTCATACTACCAACAGATTGCCTGGGTCTTGTGTTGATTAATTGAAGTTTCAAAAATAACGAGCATGCCTTCAAAAATAACGAGCATGCCTTCCAGGAGCAATCTTGGAATTTCAGGTATTAATGGCCCCATAGAACATTGAGGATTGAGCTGAGCCAAGATTCTGCGTTGTGTTTCTTTCAAGCAACGCACTTGTTTGTTCTTCCATCACACTTTATTGCAAAGGCAGTAGTGAACTCCAAGACAGTTGTAACTTGCATTTCTTGCAAACGCTATATATAATGGTAATATTAATATTAAAATTGATTCCCATATAAATACTGAAGAAGATTGTACATTATTCATTTGGAACAAGAAGAGAAGGAAAATGTTAACTAAGTGGAGATTTGAGATGACTTCCGTTGCTTCCCATTGTTTTATGATCTTCTTTGTTGTGTTAACAAGCATAAAAGTTTGCGTCGCAGACTGTGATAATTTGCAGGACACTTGCCCAGCAGCTTCACTTGCAGAACAGACCATCTTCATCAATGGCCTTTCCTGCAAGAACCCAGCAGAAATAGCTCCTCATGATTTCAAGAACATGGATTTCGGCAAGGCCGGTTCTACAAGCAACATTGTTCGTTCCTCCATGAAAATCATCACTGCGTCAGAATTTCCTGGTCTGAACACTCTTGGCCTCTCAATTGGTAGAACCGACATTGGTGTCGACGGCGTGGTGCAACCCCATCACCATCCAAGAGCGACTGAGATGATCTTTGTGGTCGAAGGGATGTTGGTCGTCGGATTTCTTGACACACACAGCAAACTTTTCCAGAAGTTGCTCAACGTCGGTGACGTATTCGTTTTCCCCAAGGGTTTGTTTCATTTCTGTGTGAATCGTGGTCGTGGGGATGCCATACTCTTGTCTGTGTTCAATAGTCAAAGTCCAGGGATGGGATCTGTCGCTTCCCCACCTTTGGATACAGCCATAGATTCATTGCACGAACTGATCCCACTTTCTGCTTCACAGATTCATGATTTTGACAATTTTACTTGGACGGGATCCGACAGCATTTTCAGTTATTAGCTATTTCACATGACCTCCTAAAATATATAGTCAAACTGGAATGTGTCAGTTTCGTTCTTCTTATTGAAACATGCTACATATGTTATGTCGGTGATTGCATGAGTTCAACTAGTATCTTCAAACTGGAATTTAGCATACCGTTTAGCCTCGAGCATATTTGAAGGATCCAGAACCGTGTAAGGGTTGCAATATCATGTGGGATATCAATTGACCAAAATTTGCATTAAATCCATTCAATTCGCCTGTAAACTCACTCTTACCATTGATGAATGTGACAAATGTAATCCAACTTTTAACAAGCCCTCTTGACAACTCATGTGCTTAGATGCCTAGTTGCCTATCGTCACAACGCATAGCTCGCAAATGAATCGAATAAATATATTCAGAGATCTATGCGAATATCAAAACCTCTGCGTTAGCGACTGCGCGTAAGCTGCTGAAAGAAGTCACATTATCTACATACAGAGTTGTTAACAGACAGATGGATCTTATACTCTTCGTGCCAAAAAAAAAGGATGGATCTTTCCTCATAAATAGGCTGTGATCGTATTAGATTTTCTTTTCTGTTCTTTTCTTTTTTTAAAAAAAAAAAACTCACTAAATTCTAAAATGGGTCAAGCAAGAAACTCACGAGAATAAGAAATTAGCTATTACAATGTCGGAGGTATAGATGGAAACTCTTGATAAATAGACGAAATATATGAAATTAACTGAAAATTGGGGCATTAAAAAAATTCGAATACAATGGTGTCAAACTTTACAGATGTGCTTGGTTCCAGTGAAAATAGAAGGGCAATAAAATAAAACATGTTTACACTTAATTGGTGTCTAAATGGCTAAATTCGTTACCGTTTTTCTCGCAGCAGCATGCTTTGAAGCTGATGCAGTGTTATTGTACTTGTTCAGAAACTGAAAATTACCAAAGCCACCATCAGCAGCACATGTATGGATGGATTATGGATATATCAAAAGAATTAATCTCAAACCTATCACCACTAAAAACCATGGAATCTTTCTTACCAAAAAGAAGGCATGAATCTTCCAATTTATTTCAACCAAGCAAACAATCAGTCTATATACATATTCCTCGTGTATAAATCAATAACAATATTTCGTCCTCAGCGAACTTTGCACTTACAGATTTGAAAAACTGCAGACTGAAAAAGAGGTGCAGGAATGCCTTCCCATGCACAAGATATCTTGACAGCTACTCTACCTTTGGCGATCACCTGAAAGTACTTCCTAGTCTGATGGCTCAACAAAAATATACAGTTTCCTTTAGTTTTCTCCATTTATCTGTGAGTATTGGTCATGTTCTTGTATATTTATAGCAACAACTGAATCCTGGTAAATGCTACAACTTTGAAGACAAAATCCAACAGCTAGGAAGTCTGATAGTTGAAAGCTGTAAAATATTCTTAGGATGAAATCTGGTTAATTGGCCAGGGTTATCCCAGAACAAATTTTATATGGTCCAACCAAAGTGATCATCTTATTCGTGACAATCTTTTTCGTTTCCGACTCTTCCTACGAGTAACACCAATTTCTGCAATATTGCTACTAGGAGGAAGAGCCAAAGGTAATGATCGTTTGCCTTGGTAGGTTCTACCTTTTTTGGAAACCCATTTCAAAGGCATATTTTTCACCACCACACCAATATCATTAGAGTTATTCAGTTCAACAAGTTTTTGGATTTGATCTAGCATTTGGTGGGTCCAAGCCATTGACAGATCCAATGCAACTGAATCGTCCCTTGGTTTTGTCCATAGATCCATCAAAACCTCTTTAAATGATAGAAAAGACAGGGATGGTTGAGAACCTTGGCCATTTTCACACATTATGTTCACCTTGATTACATGCTTGCAAAGGTTACCTTGCAGTGACCAAGAGCAATCGCAAAATGCAAATTCTGATCCAGGATTCCACACCAAATGTCTTAAAGTGCTGTCTTTCTGACTTACAACACTTGCAAACAGGCCATCCTTATCATCCAACGTAACAGCAGAGTCAGGAATTTGTAATGCTCGATGCCACGATGTGGAAGCAATATATTCCTCCTTTACATTCAGGAAAGAATCACTTTCATCAGCATATCGGTCAAGCCAGTAGCTTGAATGGAGTTCAGTTGTTAACTTGTGCACCAACCAATCGACTCTTTGAAGTGCTCCAAGGTGTGAATCATCAAAAAGTTTGGCCTTCAGTTTCATATGATATGCTTCTATGGCACCAGAAGCTTCTTGACTTGCTAGTGGAAGAGTTCTCATCATTGAAAGCCACATTCCTGTTTAAAACAGAATTAGGGGAGGGGAAAGCAAAGTATTAAATTAATGAACCATCCCATAAATTTCTAAGACAATTTCATTTCATTTGTAATTTACGGTTGTTAAGCATGCATGCCACATTGCCAACATGTTCAGCCAGATCAGCATTTTTGAAGTGATACAGTGAATGCAAGAAAGTAGGAAGAACGTCAACTAACCAATCTTGGGTAGCCAGGAGGCTTTGAAATATTCAATGAAAGCAGTTTGATCAACAAAATCCATGATGAATTGTTCCAAGGCGACAGATGTATTAACTCCACTCCATATGCTGTATACGATAGTCCCAAGACGTTTGAAAATCTCTCGCTGAACCTCAATGCTACTGCATTTCTTGACAATATTTCTTAGCCATGATCTCCGAACACGCCAAAGTGAAAATAAGATAGGGCAGCAAAATATATCTCTGTTAAAAGCAGAAAATCCAAATAAGGCATTTATATATAATAAAGAAGTTTTAAAATTCAGCTATTCACGCAGTAAGTCCTGCCTCAAAAGATCTATATCAGCAGCTGCATCATCAATTAAAAGTCCACTGACTTTCCAGCCAGGTTCAACACTTTGAGCTCGAGCAATCAATGCTTTCAGCCACTTTGACACATCAGGCTTCGCAAAGCTACGTGTGATGACCCATGCAACAGGCAGTGCATGATGTCTTGAATCAAAAACAAGTAGTGTGAACAAAGGATACTGCAATCAAGAAAAGCAAGCTAGCTCAGTGCAATGCACAAAGCTCTCTTTTATATCATCCAGAAAATAAAAGGCCAAGAACAAAAACTAATTACTTTAAGTCTTTTAATGCCAAAGGTTGAGTCAGCTGCAACAATACTACGGTGACCAAACCGGATCATTTGCTGCAACTGCCATTCTGTTTGGATTCCCAAGATAAAAGGATCTGACTCTGAAGTGTCCTGGTTAAAAAATACAAACTTCTTATTTCGTTCAATCCACAAGCGAATGCTGGCCTGATCATCAAGGTCCAGCTCATGGGTAGACCTTTTGATAATCATTCCTAGTTTGTGGACATACTGAGAGGCAAGGTTATTGACTTTTGCATTAGAACCACAATAACGTTGAATTCCTTCAATGTGTTTCTCCAATATATTTTCTTCAGGAATGCCCAGATAAATCATAGACATTGTTTGCTGCTGAATCTCATTACATATATAAGGAACTTTTATGGCACCAGGTCCAATGGCATCTCTGTCAAGTGGCCCATGGCAGACAAAACCTGACTTGTTAACATGGCGCCTCTCATTGTATATGATAAGTGCAAGTGATGGACGAGCATAAAGACGTTTAACAACAAAGTGACAGGTACAACCCCGCATTGATTGAGGTCTAGCGGCACGATTTCGAGTATTAAGCCGATATCTTCTACTAGGTAATATACCCCCACCTTCCCCATAATTTTCCGGACCAAAGGAGCACCAGTACCTTCATAAATAGCAAGATTCAAACTCAATAACACAAGTATTGTAAATCTCAATGTGAATACAGACATGTCTCAGCAAATCAGCTATGTTAAAGATATTCAGTTGCCATTCTGCTGTTGGATGCAACCCCCAAATAATAGCTGGAGCAAAGAGAAAAAATTGGGGGCAACTAAGAAAGCAAGAAAAGACTTGAAAAATAAAGCATATGTTCTGAAGGCAAACTATCTGCTCGTCACTGGACCCAAAAAAAAAACTCAACGTTATTTGAACAAGGGATAACAGAACATGGTGGACACTTACAGCCTGTACTCCAGATATTCATCATCCTTGTACTCTTTCAAGCTGCCCAATGATCGCCTTCTTGCTCTCTCAATATGAAATTGCGTCGGGCATTCTACATTCGAGCATTCACCAATCATAAAAGAATCAACTCGCTCGTAAGGAATAAGGGCAACATCATCATGGTGCTCAGCGTTGCCAAACTTCGTCCAAGTCAAGTCAGCAGAACAGAATTCCTCCTTAAGCGGGTCTTGAAAAGGAATATTTGCAATTGATTCAATTATGGCCATGTTCTCCCCGGTATTATCCCCTAAATAACTTAAATTTTCATAACCACATCTGCAGAACAAAAATTATCGAAGAGTCTCAATACAAAATGCTGAGCGGCGTCGTGTGTTATAACAATATATGATACAGGATTGAAAACCTAAGTGTCCGCCACAGAATTAATACAGTTTCAATACAAATCACAAACCTTGATGATGCATATTATATCCCATAAATTCCTAAAGAACTCGTTTCATAAAGAGAGTTAAATAGTAGATTTGGCAGAGTTTTTGAAGTAGCTAAGCAAAGAAGAAAATTCACGCCAAACATGCCAAGCCAGGGACGGGTTAGAAAACAAACCTCTTTTCTCGCAGAGTGAAATGACGATGACTCTGTCTGTAACTCACCCAATAAGCTCTTGTCACAAAAGTTCAATACTCAGCCTTTGGAGACAGCTCAGTGGAAGAAGGTTTAGGGGATATTGAAAGGAGGGGTTTAAGAAAAAAGGCGAGTTTTGGACTCCTAAAAAAATGAGAGAGCGGAAATGTGAATGTGTCGCCTGGCGGTGGCAAGGTAGTAATATATTAACAGATGAAAAGACAAGAACCTTAGGCATTTTCTCCTGGAAGAATTTCATTAAAGACCTCTTACGTGATTTATTTTAAAAAAAAAATCAGGTCCAAATATCATAATAAGATTCTAAATTTGAATTGAAATTAAATTAAGAAATAAAATGACTAAAATATCTTGTTTCAGTTAAATTAGATGAGACACATAATAGACTTAATAAGTAATAATAAGATATTAATAAATAATATTACACGTTTAACAAATCAATCAATCACATTACTTAAAAACAGTAACTTGACAAAAATATTTATTAATGTTAGACGTGAACAAGTAATATGATGGACTTAATAAATAATAATAGGGATTTAACAACTAATATTATACATCAAACAAGTCAAACATTATTTAATAACTAACATAATGGATTTAACAAGTAAGAACAAAGAATTAATAAGTAATATTAATCATTGAACATTTAACATGTAATAAATATTAATTTCTCATGCAAATAAAAACAGAGTAGTAATTAACTAGTTACATGTAATGTTACTCGTTGATATCTTGTTGTTAGAATTATTATGTATCTTGTACTGTGTTTCAATTTAACTAAAGAATAATATTCTGGTCATTTTATTTTTTAATTTAATTTCAATGACCTAGAATCCTGCAGTCATATTTTAGATTATTTTGGATCTGATTTGTAAATAATTCCTATCATTGGCCATAGGATGAAACTCCCCCTTTTCTTTTTCTATTTTAGCAGGGCAAACGGCACCAAATACCATGCCGTTTAAACTTCAAGCGGCTTATCTCCAGTCCAGCGGAGCGGAAAAATGCACCCATTAATAAATTACATGTCTCTTCTATGGGGCCTCAAATGGATATCTCCAATTAACAATAGGTCTTGTCTGGCAACATGTATTATGAAGTGTGGAAAAACTAATTTCACTTGTTTGGGTTAAAATGTAATTTTTGCTTTAAGTGTGACTATTTGAGCTAAAAATAATAATGAAAGAATAATAGAGAAATTTTAAAAAGATTAATTAATTCAACCTAGGTCCAAATTCCATAAACTTACAAGTTCAGGTCTCAATTTTGCAACTTTGCTATGATAAATTTACAATTTATTTTTTAAAATTTTAACATAGTTGAATAATAAATAAATTCATTTTTTCTGTTAAAATTTAAAATACAAATTTTAAATTCATCATAACAAAGTTATAAAATTAAAACCTGAACTTCCAAATTCTTAGAGTTTAGTATTTGAGACCTAAGTTAAATTAATTGATTCTTTTGGGACCTCTCTATCATTCTTTCAAAAATAATTTTAGCCCTTGCTTACATAAATCTTCTAGAAGAGAGGTTATTACTTGCTAAGAAGAAGAACTGACATATCAATGCAATTTACTGGGCTATCAAAATGAAGCTAGTGGCCCTTAAAAATTGAAGCATGAAGCCAAGGAAAAACCACAACTTTAATTTGTGCCAATAAGCCACCACACACATATGCCATCAATACACAATCCCTTTGACTTCTTTAACAACTCAACTCAGAAATCCACTTGCATAGTATAAAAACTTAACTTTATATCATCTTTTACTTCACCCAACACAACTCCTTTTATTTTTTACCAAATTCAACATAGTGCCCTTAGTACGTCACACATTCAATAGAGAGTATTAAAGTTCTTCAGCAATTAGTAGAGCGCCAACTCCTAGCAAAACAATAGTAACAATGTGCCACTGCTTTTCTTTTTAGTTTTTCATATTTTATTTCTTGTAATTTCACTTTTATCACTATTAATACCATGGCTACAATTACCATAGAAATATTGCATGTATTTCTATCTTTATTTCTTCATTCATTTTACTTCTAAGCACTTGTATTTATGAAAATTTTATTAAAGGACGTAGGACCTTTATATTTGGTTTAGAAGTTAGGTAAATCGCACCTTTTGAAGACATGTTCACTTGGCACACTCACAAAAGCTGCCAAAACAACTTTTTATGTATTTATAATTTTAAAAAATTATAACTTTTAATCCTTATACTTTACTCTTATTTTATTATAGGTTTCTATACTTTTTTTAATTTTTTAAGTCTCTACACTTTCATTTTTTTAATGTTATAAGGACCTAAAATACTAAAAAAATAAAAGTGTAGGGACTCAAAATACCAAAAATAAAAAATAAAAACCTATAGTAAAACATGAACAAAGTGTAGGGATTAAAAGTCATGTTTTCCTTAATTTTTAATACAAATGTATATAGAATTTTTTTTCTAATGACTCATTTAAAAATAATGCAAATATGATATTTTTATTATGAAAGTTTTAGTTACGAGTGCTAAAATTTTTACCTAAATTAGTTTCAATATACAGTGTATTAGTATAATAAAATGTATGTAGCATGTTATGAATATGGTTCTTCATTTCTCATACTCCATATGTTATATGCACAAAAAATATATCAAATTTAATTTATATTACAATGGAACAACTCTTTTCAATAACTTAAAAATATATGAAATCCTATTCCAAATATGAGAATTTTGTTAATAGGTGATATGCAAATATTCTTGTCAACGTTCATTGAATCTAAAAGTATGCCCTAACCTGGTGAAACCTTAAAATCCAACTTACTAACTTTTTATGAGCAATAAAAATATTATAATTAAGATAAACTAAATTTTTGTTGTCATGTTGTTCTACAAAAGCTCATATTAGGTGCAATAAGCTATGACGATGAAAATATAATAACACACAACATTTGCTTTTTAAAAAAAAATTGTGTATTATATAGGAAACATGATAATAAAATTTCTCTGAAATGTATAAATAACAAGTTAATTCCTCAAAATGTAATAACTTCCTTGAAGTCTTTATTTTCTATCATTAATAAATTTATATAAATTATCAAATTGCCTCTGTTGAAAATAAATGGTTCACAAATTTTGTTTAAATATTCATAACTTTTTTTCTTATATTCACAATAATGTAGCATCAAATAAGGAATTAACATGCGATACCAAATCGTAACAATACAATAGCAGATCATAACTTTACATATTAATTCTTTATTTGCTATTACATTATTGTGAATATAAGAAGAAAAGCTGTGAATATTTAAACAAAACTTGTGAATTGTTTATTTTCAACAAGGACAATTTAATAATTTATATAAATTTATTAATGAAACAAAAGTCTTTAGAAACTTTAGGAAAATTATGGCATTTCAAGGAACCAAATTATCATTTATGCATTTTAGAGAAATTTTATTATTATTTTCCCTATTATATAAAGAACATTTCATTTTCTGTGGATGAAAAAAAACTCACACTAGAAAAGCTACCCATTGGAATATGAAAATACTCAAATTTAAATTGATTGATACCATATCAGATTATATTCTAGATAACTGTTAAAAATGATTTTTAAAATAATTATATTAATGATGGCGCCCTTTTAAATTCGAATAATTTAAAATGAAAAAACACAATAAATCAATGGTGAAAGAAATATGAGGGTAGTAAATAATCACACAATAATAATGCAAATTTTGATCTTTCTTTTTTTTTTCCTTGTCTAATTTTCTTTTTTTTTCACAAGTTTTGATGTGTGAGCTATAAATATTAAATAATACATGCACTTTTATAAGTTCCTTCCACGCACGCAAATGATGCCCTCTATGGTAGAATCGTAACATTGCAAATGCAGATGCTTGAACTTGATTGATTCACTCCCCGCAACATGCATGAAATCATGACAAACAGGGATCCTAAGGCACAGTGCAATAAGAAATGGAAGTCTTTCCCTAATAGAGCATTAATGGAATCAGAACCCAGGAAAGATAAAATCAACAACTTAATTAAAAAAATTACGACTATTATTCGCTAAGTACGCCTAGAAAAGACAACAGAAAAGTGACCATATAAATCAGAAGCTAGACTCTCATATGCTATATTGCAGTTCCCTCTTGAAACAGATTTAGCAAATAACTATGTATATGGAAGCTTATCATCATCATGGTCAACTGTCGCTGGCAGAACAACTTCCCACACCGAGAAAGTCTATAAAGGAAACTCCCTTAAGCTTTTCGACTTGTTCTTCCAGAGTTATCTTGTCTGCCATGCCTTTGATGGAAAAATCGTCAGTTCTTTGAGCATTATTATAGGATTTTGAGAACCTATGAGGAAGAGGAACGACCTTACCAATACTAGGAATTCCTGGTGCAGTAAAACTAATATAACTGCTAAGCGAGCAAGAAGCAGGACTTGAAGCACTAGAATGATCATTGTGAGGCTTAGCAGAACCTGAAGGTTCAAAGTTCACTAACTCTGATGTAATGGTCGAAGTACCGCTTTGAGTATTCCAAGGATTCAGTAGCAATGAACATGAGGAAGACATATCGAAGATGCCCATGTTTCTGTTGTTTTGGAAGGTAAAGTTATTAATCCCTGAGGCAGGCCTACGTGTGGTTGAGTCAAGCATGGGAATATGATTATGATTAATAACAGTGTGGCTGCTGCTTCTGTCACCAAGGAGTGCGTAACGTTCTCTCTTTCTCCTTGCCATAAGGACATGGAAGTGATTCTTGACAGCATTATCAGTTCTTCCAGGTAAGAACCTTGAAATTGCAGCCCATTTATTTCCCTTTACCTTGTGAAGAGCTAGCAGTATTTCTTCCTCCTCCTCTGTGAATGGTCTTTTCACTATGTTTGGGTCTAGTTGGTTGTACCACCTCAGTCTGCAACTTTTCCCTATGAAATAATATAATCCATATTTCAAGTACTCATTTCTTATTAGTTGAGAATTATGCAGAAGGTGAAAAGGTAAAATAAAGTAAAGACATTGTAAGTTTGACAGAAAAGGGATGGGGTTGAAAACTGAGTAACCTCTTCTATTGAAAAGAACATAATTCGATGATTGGATTTTTTGCGAGGTTACGAATAGTTCTGTTATTATCTATAAACAAAAAAGTTATAAATGATGTCACGCATTTACCTGATCTCCCATCAAGATGTTCTGCAACGAAATTCCAGTTCTGGGGACCATACTGCTCCACAAGCTGTTTCAGCCTCTCATCTTCAGCTGGTCTCCAATGGCCTCTGTTACAACTCTTACTCTCACTGCTACTGCTTCTGGACATTCTTCCCTGACCAAGACAAACCTAGATGGAAAATTACAAGAGGAATAAAACAGAAGAAAAAGAAGGATGAAGAAAAAGAGAAAGGAGAAGAGCCTAGAAAAAGAGGTTCGGTGTTGGGTTATATAGATAGAAAAATCCCTTTAGCTGTGCCTGCAAGATATGGAAAGCAAGTGTAAGAATTAGCCAGCTTGCCTCGTTTCCTCACCTCTCAAAGATCCGAAAAAGGACATGTGCTTATTGTATCTGACGAGGAAAATCCCACTTTCAAACATCTTCCTTACTTTGTGACTCTTCAAGTATGGAAGTTTTTTGTTTCATGCAGTTTATTAGGGGCTACATATATGGAAGTTCATTAATGTCTGTTAAAGAGTGAGTGGTTGTCCAAAACCAACTTGAGGGTATGTAAATGGAAAATTCTTTGAGCACTTAAAGGTGTACAACTGTACTCTTAGCAGACTTGGGAAGAAAACAAGAAGCATTTTCCCACAAGCTTCCATGATTTGGTATGGTGTGGGACTTACATACTTCATGGACCATCTTAAACATGATCATAACAAGAAATCCTAAAATTAAACCAGCAAAGTCAATTTATACTGCCATGATATTGCATTATTTAATCCAACCTGTTTTAAAGCAAGTGCTGTAAAAGTGTGTTTCTTAAGTTCTCACCCGAAGCTGTTGCAGTAATCACTATTAATTAATTCATCTAAATCAAAATCTGTTGGGTTTGAATAGAGAACCAATGAAATGATATTATAATAGAGGCAAAAAAAAATTGAGGATGGAACTTCAAAGTTTAACAGATAAATGGCATTCATCATTCCACACATATGTAATTAAATATTCATTAGTGCTGTATGACCCCTATAATACTTTGCTTTTTTCTTGCTCATTCTTTCAAGTTATAAATTTGAAAGGGGGAAGATGAAGAAAGGAAAACTCATGAGTGATCTCCAGATTTAAAAAAAAAAATTAGTAACTTCTAATGCTAAAAGATTTAAAACTACACCCTTCACTCATATTTATAAAGCAAGAGAGAAAATATTTTTTTTTATTATATTTATAAAGCATGTCATTTATTTTTTATCACAAGTTCTTTCTTTTATTCTCCTTACATGTTGATGAGAAAGAGTATATTTCAAAGTCCATGTAGTTAACGGAACAAAGTTAAAAATTTAATAAATTTTTTAAAAGTATTAATGAGTTTTAATTTTTTTTTAATTTCAGTAAAATATGTTAAAAGTACTTTACAAAAGATAGGTAGGAATATTTATGCATTTTGCACACACGTAAGACTATACATGTGTTTGTATGTATATTATGCTTCTTTCGTGATAAATTATTACCCGTGAAGGTGTTGGAGATTCTAGACATAAAATGTATTCTCAATTTCTCAACTGATTGAGATTCTATGTCCTACAGTATCAAAAAAAAAAAAAAAACTTAGTGCACAAGCCATTTTTTCCCATATAGGAAATGACCACTGCCATACGGTTACTCACAAATAATCTCTACCATTATAATATAAACTTGAACCAAGCAGTGTTTTGCGTTCAATTGGGTGATTAATGCTCTTCTTTTGAGTTTTGAAACTTCAAATCAGATGAAGATCCTTTCATTTTTGGAACTGTAATGACCTTATCTTTCAGCTATACATAGAGGTCAACGTCATGAGTCCCAAGTCCCAATGAAACACAAAGCTTCAGATGCTTGAGAATTCTTCTCCACATGAACTACTGGAGCTGTTTATATTTGTCTTTTAATGGTTTCAGACTAATCCATGTGTGCAGTTAATAAACTCAATAGTTTATGGCTGCAGTTAAACAATTTTTGGCCAGATGGAAGCAGTTACTCCCTTCAATATAACAATATGGCACTTTGTAAAATTAGTGTTTGGTTTAAAATATTAGTTAGTACTATCTTATAATGTTAACCATTCCCTCCGTCTCTTTTTAGTTTTTAATATCTAGTTTTCTAATGCCCTTGTCCCTTTTTTTTAAATATTTTTCTCAATTCTATTTTTTTTTATAGACTCATATTCAATGATTTTTTAACCCCTAATAAAACATTTAACCTTTTTTACATTTAATTGGAGCAGATTTAGAAAGAATAAAATTTTCTTAGTTTTCGTGAACTTGACAACTATATACCATATCAAGGGCCGGGAGTAATGCTTTTCTAATTTTACCTATATATAATTTAACGTGGAGTAACAAATGTAGTTGGCTTTAATCAAGCAACAAGGATAGTTAGTAAGGGTGAAATTGAAACAATTGGCAATTTTTAAAAGATTAGACATAAAATTATATCTTTTCTTGAGATATGTGAATTGGAATGGTTAGAACAGATTTAAATTCTGGATCCGAGCGAATAAAACTTAAATCTTCATGGAGGTAAAATTGATAGGTAAATTGTCAAATCATTGTGTCCCCAGTAAAACTGAGAAACTTATATTTGATCATAAATTGACTGGGAAAAGAAGTGAGCAAGCGAATGAGAGAGCCTTCAGTCAGGATAAAATTAGCAGTTTCCACTTTGGCGATTAAGAAAAATACTCCAAGCTTTTGCCCTTTTCCTTATTTCGTTATTCTCCGATATTTCGTTATTCTTACTTCATAAACCGCAGAAGTACAAACCTTATTCTCTTACCCAGCGATTGGCATTTATAGAGTTTACAACGCTGTTGGTCCAACTCATGATTGCGTACATCATTATACGCTATGCTAGTGCTCTGCACATACCCGGGTGTATTGTTTCATTTTTGTGGACATCATCCCAGCCCAGGCGAAAGATTGAGTTGGTTTGTGTGATAGTAGAAGATACGTCAAACGAAAATGAGCTCCATTACATGGCATTGGATAATTAATAATGTGAACGAATCTATCATTGACCGTTTCAGAGTGATATGAGATAACAGCTACTGGCCGGTGAGTACAAAAAAGGTAGCAAGCGACAGTCTAAAACTAGCTGGTAGCTGATACTCTGCACAGGAGATGAAACTATGAAAAGTTTCTTGCCGTTCGAGCGCTAAAGCAAATAGGCGCCAGCAACATTCCATATACGGTCGTTGAAATAAAAATTTGGCTGGCAGGTCATTAATTTTTATTAGTTCAGTAACATTTGACAACCGACATACCCATTCTTTGTTTGCCAACCAAGTGATCTTTTTTGCCTTGGGAAAGCGACATGTGAGCCACTCCCCAGCTACCATTTTTTTTTTTTTTTAACTCCCAAGGGGGAACAAAACTTTTCCAATATTCGGCGAAAAAAGAAGATCTGAGATGGAGTGTACGTACAGAGAAAATTTACAAGGGGGCGTCAATGTTACGAGCTGCGCCTAATACACAAAACGATGGGATCAACTCTTCATAACGAGAAGGTCACACCGTAAACCATTGTCTTACAAAGAAACGCCCAATAGATTGCTTTTGCCTTCTCAGCGGTCACCTCATGTCAACGAATCCAACGCATGGAGACGGTCACTGATATGTAATGATACGATGACGTTTTTTTTTTTTTTCCGTTCTAGTTTCATTTCCAATCTAGTTTTTTTTTTTTTTTAATATGGTACAATACATCCTCAAATGTATAGTAATGAACATCCATGTAAAAGCCAGTGTAAAAAAAAAAAAAAGCAACTAGTAAAGAAAAAGCATCATATCTTTTTGGATTAGACTACCCAATACTCTGGTTCCACCCCACGACGCCTATAGGACTTAATGGCTCAAACTAATCAAGATCAAGTCGAATAGAACCACAAATGGCGACAGAGCTCCCCCTCAAATCTAGGTTTTTCCCCCAAGAAAAAAGCACCATATTATTTCCACATGGCTCTTCAATGATCAGCTAGCTCCAGCCGGTCAAGCCTAACTTGTCAGCAAGATTGTACATAACCAATTCATTCCAAACAGGACCAAAGAGGCGTTCTCCCCCCATGGCAAATGTTAGAGCCCACGAACAGAGAAGGGCAGCAAATATAGAAAACCCAACCGCTGATGCAACAATGTCTGCGCAAAAAATGTCCAAGAAATTAGATCAACTGCGTACAGGAAAAGTGGCTTCAAATATATGAAAGAGATTCACAAAAACAATTAAATCTACTCACAAAAAGCTAATTCTACTAGTAAATGCAGAATTCTTAATTTATGTGATTGAAACAAATTAGTGCCCATGCTCCTTGCCCCTATAATGAGAATTGAAGTAGCCCTGCGCGAGAAGATATTCCATGCTTCACAGACACATTTAATAGAGAGAGATTTGTTCATAACGTTCAAAGGAAGTATGGAATTTTCTGTTAGAAAAATAGGGTATATGGTCCAACTTCCAAAAAATTACTCAGTGAGTATGGGTATTTTCTCCTCAACAGCGAGAAGGGTTGGCCTTTGTCAATCGCCTATCTTTATACCTTAATTTATAATACAAGTTAAAAAAGGAAATTCTAAGGCATTCGATAATTTTCTACAGAGTCCCACCTTTACCACTTAACCAAATTACCACTTTCCAACCGTGCAAAATGATAAAAAGACAAATCTGCTCATAGCAACAGCAGGGAGTATGGTATTCAACCATCTTACACCGAGAGGTGTAGACAGTTACTATAAGCAGTGAGAGTTACCGGGAATCCACACATAATCCAACAGATTGTCGGATTGGGTCCTCAGTCTATTGCAGTTGATAAACAATAATACATATGGTATAGTTCAGAATAAAAAGTAATTTAGCTCGAGTACATATTCTTTTATTAACATTTCCCGTTTCATTTCCGGTTTATTAACACCAAAACAGCAAGCCTATTTTCCTCATTAATGATTAATGACAAAACACCAACTGGCAAGCACTTTTCCGGACTCAAAATGGGGGGGAAAAAAAACCCAAGCATTTTTATAAACAAATAATTTCAACGCCAATTTTTTGTAAAAAAGCCATTTCTGCTGAGTGCTAAAGCAGACCTAAAATACGATTACAGAGTAGGTGGGAGAGCCACAGTTTTAAACCTAACATGATGACTTCAAAAACTAGTAAAAGGGTGAAGAAGATGGCACTCTTTAGTATTAGACTCAAACATGACACCGATACTCTTTACACATCAGAAATTTAGCACAGAACACAACCTCTGGTCTGAAAGAAAAGAGCAAGGAAACAAAAGTGATACAAATGAAAATCAGTAATGAATTAATACATGTATCATATCTAGATTCTAGACTCAATGTCAATTTTAATCCCTTTTATTTCCTTTTCCTACTCTTTCATTTTCTCCAAAACAAGATTTATAGGCTGTATGTATCGCGAATGGTGCACAGCTCAATTAGCCAGCTCTTTACTCTAATGACGCAACAAAATTTTGGAAAGGTTCCACATCAAGGAAACAGATGAAATATTTAAAAGTGTATATACATACATATATATATATATATATATAAAGGAAAGGCATAAGCCAGATATGAACCTAAAAGGTCAAAAGTCAAGGCCATTATGGCCGTGGCACGTATCAAGACGGAGTAAATACTAGCAGTCTTCAGCCGGCTCAAACATGATCATGAAATCAGTATTTATATTATGAGAGGATTGAGTGAGCCAGTCAGCGCTGAAATCTTACTTTTTAGAAGCAAAATCCTCAAAATTGAAACTCAAACTATGAAATGACAGCCCGAAAGAAAATACAAACCCCTAGAAGCCCAAAGCAAGAACAACAAAGCAAAAGCACCAAACTTGTAATAAAATCAGAAGAAGAATCACCAAGAATTTGATAAAAAAACCAGAAAGAGAAAAAAGGAACATACAGCGGCGAATGCGAGGGAAGGAGTGTGCGTGGCGGAGAACAGGCCAGAAGTAAAAGCAATTGACGGCCCAAAGCAAGGGAAGCAGTGCGAAACCGAACTTGTAGAATTTGCGGGCGTAGCTGAGTGCATCTTCCTCGGAGAGGCCAAGTGGCCCATCGACAGTCGGCCAGAGGGGCACTGAAGACGATAAAGAATTCCCAATTGGAGTAGGGCTTGGACTAAAATTGTGATTGTCGCTTTGTGACGCTTCCATTATCGCGATCACAGTTCAGAAAATGGCTCCCTGAATCTCAGAAATTCAACATCTGAGAACGACGAATCTGCGCTTCTATGGAACACAAAATGGCACACTGGAACGAGTTGTCAAACCTCAAAACCGCACCGTCGTTTGACACCGTGAATAGGGTCAAAACTGGCAAATTAATCAATAATCTGCGGACAAAAACTGTTACTTGGAACTAAATTTATTTATTATAAGGAAAAATAAATTTATACAAACAATTTGTGTCATATAATATAACAATTAATCTTTAACAAATTAAACCATAAAAACCAATATTATAAATAATTTCGACCAAACTAAAATCAACTTATTTTTGGCCAAACTATACTTTACTATTTAAGTAACATATTCTGTTAAATTAAATATAGAATTGCCTTGAATAAACAAATATTAATAAAAAACAAAAATAGCTCCCTATATTGGATAAAATTTAAAGAGAGAATTGCGCAATTCTTAGTTTTAAACATCTATTAATTTTTGAATAAAATACTCTCACTTCCCTGTTATTTTATCTTAATTATATATAACTCTATTATATTTTTAAAATTTATACGATCTTCTTTTAATATAAATAGTTATAAAACAAAAATATTTCTTCTATTTATAATATTTTATTTCTATTCATTTAATTATTAGTTAACTGTTAAGGTGTATATGTTTGATTAAAACACCCTTATTTTATATTATCTAAAAATCATTCAAATTACTAAAAAAGTTAAAACATACCCTTCGTTTAAAAATATAAAATATTTTTAATTAAATTTTATATCTAAAAAAATAGTTATTTATTTTCAAATTAACTCTATATTTTTATATTTTATCCTTATTTAATAGGATATTTTACTTTAAAATAAATATAAAGTGATTCATTTAATAGGGATACTTTTAAAAAAAAGACAATAATTACACTTTAAAAGATTTAAAATATTTTATATTTTTTAATATCTAATCTCTTAAAAAATGCCCTACATTTCATTTTATTATGTAAATTTTTTTATTTAGTAATTTTTTAAAATATTAAATACAGTTCAAAAAATTTAAGAACTACTTTTGTAAAAAAATTATGAAATAAGAATTTAATATAATAAAGGAAAAGTAAATTATTTAATTCTTGTAGTTTTGACCTAATTATAATTCAGTCCTTGAACTTTAACTCGTTATAAATCAGTCCTTATAGTTTTAGTTCAGTTGTAACTCAATTCTTGAACTTTGTCTCTGACAATTTAATCCCTATACTTTCAACTATTTAAATATTAATATTTATATTTTAAAAAATAAAATTATAAAAATTAAAAATATTTTAAATTTTTAATATTTATAAAGGCTAAAAAGGTTTAGAAATTTAAAATATTAATAAAAAATTTTAACATATTTTTAAGTTTTATGATTTTATTTTTTAAAATATATAGACCCATATTCTGTAATTGAAATTATAACGATTAAATTATAAAAGTTACAGTTTAGGAATTGAGTCACAATTAAATTAAAATTTCAAGAATTGAATTATAATGAGTTAGAGTTTAAAAATTAAATTATAATTCAGTCAAAACTACAAAAATTAAATGATTAATTTTTTTATAATAAATTGCTCAATACATTTATACTTATTTTTTATAATTTCATTAATTTTAACAAAAAAATTTAAATTATTTATTTAAATATTGACAATGTTAATTGTTTAAAGTTTTTTTAAAATTGGGAGAGAGGATAGACAATCATATGATAAGAATAAATTAATAATTTTAAAAATTTTAACATAATTACAAATAAAAAATTAAATATTTTAGAAAAATATTCTCAACAGTGCTATATGATTGAATTAAAATGTAAATTTTGCAAATAGATGGAGGCTCTCTATAATTTTAGCAAAACAGAAAAGAGCTTACTATATTTTAAAATACTCGTAATTTTCTGTTTCAAAGACAACAAGCATCATTGTTATCATATTGAGAATTTTAAATTCGTATTTTGCCAAACATAAAGCCAGAGTAATAGTGTAAATGGGATAAAATAACAAGTTTCTTCCATGCCCATCATGAACTCACATTCAACTAGTTCATCAAACGCTAGGGGGAAAAAATTCATCCAACATGTCTGACCCTAAACACAAGATTCAGATTTTCATTCTTTCACAAGAGAATGTTCGTATTAAACCAATCTTAATGATACATGGATACAAATTACTTTATACAGAGACAAACCGAAAGAAACTGTGGCAACATTTTCCTCCCAACGTGTCATTGCGATCCGTCGCAGCAGCTGCTCCCCCAGATGGTCCATAAAAACATGGACCAGAAACTTGTCCACCCCATATTTTCGCACGGTAAAAAAAGAAGAGTTAAACCACAGTCCCCTACCTGTATGAACAAGGGTGCATCAACCAACCCCATATAGCTGATTGCATTTTATAGGGGGCATCAATTACTTCTCAATGGTGCTCCCTCAGGGCCAATTATCTCAGAGACAGAGATTCAACTTCCTCTTCTTTCAGAAATATAATTCCCATAAATGAGGATGGGCTCCCTCTGGTGCAAACTTTATCATGTAAAGCACCATGCAATTTAGGGTTCTTCAGGATTGAGATTTCTCCCTCAATTTGGCCCTAGCAAAAAATACTCCAGCCAGAAGACCTACAAGTTGCAATAAAATGTGGCCCAAATTTTGAGTTGATGTGCTCTATGCAGCGATGATACAATTTCAGGCCAGTTGATGTAGAGAACTAACCGAAGAATATGCTAGCAGAGTTCTCCAAACTAGTAGGAACCCTGAACAGAAGGATGCCAACAACTGACAGGGGAATCTTATTTAGCGAACCAACAAGGCTGCAGATTATAGACCAGTGATTAGATAATGAAACACTTGCACTTCTTCTCTAACATAGCATGGCGTTGAAAACTATAATTACAGAAACATAGTACCAAAATTAGTCCTTGATTAAATTGCGTTAAATAAAAATAATGAAGTTACTTTTGACCGAACCTGTAAGTTGTAGCCCCAGTCTGATGAAGAAACCACATGGATGTGAAGCTGATCGCAAGACCCAAACATCCACTTAAGGTCATCACTAGCCAAAAGCTAGGCAATCTCAGAAGTGGCCTGCCAACATCAAGAATCATGGAGAAAAAATGAATAGATTTTCTAGCCATTAACATAACCTGATGAATCAACGACAATAACACATTTCTGGAGACTGCAGATTAGAGGAGTATAATTGTGTTACACAGGCAGAAACACGGAATATGACTGCCTGTTCAGAATATAAAGCTGTGCAAGGCACATAATATTCCATTTATAAAAAGTAGAGCTTACGTTCTCGTGAGATAATCCGCCTCATTGAAAACAAAAATCAGAAGAATTCCCGAAGGCAAGGAAAGAGTGTTGTTCAACAAGACCATTGAAAACTCATTCAAATTTCCAGATGTTGTAACTTGCTTTGCAGTATCCATGACCTTACGCAGAGTCAGCTGCAGCAACAAAATAAAACAGCCAAACAATCAATCAACTTAAAGTAAAAACCAATAGTTGCCATCCATCTACATAAATGCACCATAACATAGTAAATTATCCTTTAATACCAAAACCGAGCTAAATTCTTCCCAGTCTAGAACACTGATGCGCTAAAGTAAAATAACAACTGAGCCTAGAAATCCTTCCCAGGCAATTACCCTGTCAAACTTCAAACACTGTGAAACGATTGTCACCAAGGATGAGTAAATGGAGTAGAAGTGAAGCCAGATTCATGTTATTATTAAATCTATGTAAATGGATTAGAAGTATATATGCAACACATCATTATAAACAGAAAATGAAACCAACAAATAATTGATAGTTCCATATTGCGACATGATGTTGGAATTTCAGAGAAAAGGAATAAAAAATGGATAAAAAGAAAAAATAATGTACAAAGGAAAGAGACTCAGTATATGTTAAAAGCTTCAAAAGAGAATACAATATATATATGCACAAATGTGCGTGAATATAATAAACTCACAGAATATGATGCAGTCAAGAAACAATTAACTATCTGCCACGTGTAACCGATTGCATGGAAAGTGAGGTCAGTTATCCCTCCAGTTACTGCTGAAATGATCTGCACACAAAAGGGAAACTCATAAATATAATATCAAATATTGCACATCAATTGAGTCTAGCAACTCAAACATGTATAAGGTATGTAGCTATATTTTAAGAATATAAAAAATGACAATCTACCCAATCATGTAGGAATAGCAGCACCTCTGTAAAACACGACAAACATGGGAGACAAGAGCAGCGGCAGTCCAGCAACTACATCATACTGAACATGAGTCACTAACTTGCCAGCATCCTAAGCTCTAAAACCAAACCCACTTGAGCAGCCAACAAAGGGGGAAGCGAAGAGGAGGAGGAGCTAATAATTAATAATATATGGTAAGACAGGACCGGTTGTTTTCTCTGGCTAAGGAGTAACGCATGAACACACTTTTGTGTTTGAAAAAAAAAAAAATTATTCTGTATATTTGCTGCCTCATTTCACCACTACAAGGAAACAATATGTTTACAAGTCTAACGCAAAACATAAAAGGGAGAAAAATAGAAAGGTATAGGAGGATACAAGCAACAAACTAAAACTTAAACAAAAATAAGATGGAATCCTTGATTCTATGAAAAAATGGCATCTCAAATAACCAAAAATCCAGTGACCACAAGATTCATAAGACAACTAACAAGATCTTCAACATACCATTAAAAAAAGAGCAGCCCAAACTCTGCTGTCATGGTGCTTCTTGAATAAATACATTTCACCAACGGCAGTTATGACATTTGTAACATTCTTCAGAACAGTCACCATAGCTACATTAATATATTTCAAACTGCACAAAATTAAGAAAAAAATAAGCAAAACTATCCAAACAGGAATGATAGAGTGCCTACTTACTCTACTGCAAGCTATAGTAATCTATTTAACGGCATCTGAGTAGGCTAACGCTTATGCAGGTGGCAGATGTCCGGCTAATACACTTCATGTTTGATAGTAAATTATTAGCTTAACATTCTTTATGGTTTACCTGCTCCCCTAATAAGAGCAAGTTTTGCTGAAGTTTAAATATTGCTTTCCTTTCATATTGTGCTAGATTGCTCATACAAAAACAAAATTTCTCACATTTCACAAATTATTCAGATTTCAACAATCGGAACAACAGCAAGAAATTTTACAAATTCAACTTTCATATCTAACTGTTGGCAATAAATAGAAGAAAACACACACGAGAAGCATTTGGTATTTAATGGTAGAAACCCAAAACTTGGAAACTGCATACCTGTACATGCTTGTGATGAGCATTCCAACAAATATAACGTTTACTGGAAACCAGACCTTCACCAATCTCCACGTTAGGGGTTCTGTTGATATTAGACCCAGAAGTCTCAACACACAAACAATAATCACTGAAATGAAATTCTGCATTTACAAAACAATTGTCAGAAGCCAGCATCATCAACATCTACATCATTATACCAATAAAACAGAAGTATTAAAGCAAATTACCTGGTACAACATCAACGATATCCCAGCACTGAAATCATAACTAGAAAGCACAAACTTGTTAATCAATATCATGCTGCACGAGGAGAAGCAATATGCAAACCCAGACAGTAAGGCTTGATTGTGAACTTTAACTACCCTGCCACTAGGAAGAGTTCTCTCTCTGTTCTTATCCAACTTACCACTTTCCAAATCAAGTTCATTATTGGAAATATGCTTCATTTTACGTGAGAAGAAGGATGGCCAAGGAAGAGAAGTTATGAAGAATAGGATCTGGCCTGACTTCGCAAGCAATCTAATGGATTGTCAAGGGCAAAACACCGCAGAATTCGACAGATTTCAAGATAAGGATTTCAGGATCGACAGAACCTGAGAAATACGAAATGAAGACTAAAGAGCATCGCACATCTTCACTGACTAAATTTTATTTTTGATGAAGAATAACCCATGAAAGCTCTCAGCAGTAACCACCAAAAAATAGCGAGAATCAGAAAACCAAGGAAACGAAGAGCCAATAATAAAATTCAGTGGATGAACCCACAAACGGAGGAGCTCAAAGAATGAAATAAAGCAAACAAAGGAAGGAATGCACGGAGAAAAGTTGAGTAAAAGGACTTGTAGATTCGAAAGGAAATTTCGTTACAGTTTGAGAATCCAACTTTTAAGGTCGTTGAGCTTGGAGGGAGCTACCAGCTTTTGTTGTCTTTCGTGATTCTAAGTTTCACGCCTCCTTGATGACAAGAAGATCCGCTGTTGATTGGCTTGTGTTCAAAATGGAGCGTTGGATAATACTAGTCATTTGTTCCGACCATGCTCCTCGTGTTATTCACTTATTCCATTTCCCGGAATGCCCCAACGAGTCGACTTTGTGGATCCATTAATGCATTTTATGATTAAAAAAAATATCTACTGCACATGTATATTTAGTAAGATAACACATATTTATATTTGTTATTAAATCACATATAGTAGGAGTAGCTATTTCTATTAGTTCTCATTTATATATTACATGTAAATTTTATTTGTAGCTACAAAAAGTCAAGAACCATATTCTTAAATAGCCATGATATTCAATTATTTAATTAAATTAAATTATAAGTCTTACAAAATGTGAGATGGTGGGCACTATTTATGATTTATGAATATTATCATTTTATGTGAGTCTTCTTACATTGTAATATATTATTTATTTATTAATTAATTGACTCGTGAGATTTGTGATTTGTAGATACATTTATACTAAAAAAATTCAAATAATAACATTTATTAGAGGCAATAATTTATGTAAGTAGTGTAATATTTATGCATGTATTACTTAGTTATTATTCTATCACCTAAATTTATATAATCAATTTCACTTAGTGAAATAAGGTTTGTTGTTATTGTTTAATCAAATAGACCGTAAGAAAACTAATTTTCTTAAACCAGGAAATTCATATTTTTTTAATTAGGAAAAAAAGAAGCATTTGAAACAATTACTAAACCATGCCTAAAACGGTGAAAATAAGTACTTATACATTCCCTTTATATTTTTTTGACGTGGCAAAATTGTGTTTGAGGGGGCTAAATGAGGTAAAGTGAGACTGAGCCAACAAATATTTTGGCATGCAAATCTGGCCATTGGGAATGGAGTATTACTATTATCCTCATCTCTTTCCCATTCTCTTATCTCTGAACTGTAAGACACAAGAATAGTGTCTATCCCATGGCTTTCAATGGAACCCTATGGCACAAGTCCTTCTCACCTTGCGTTCATTTTCCACACACCCTAAGAAGTAAACCTCTTCATTTGCAATCCCCATCGATTATTATTCGAGCACAGCAAGATGCTGCAGCAGACAAGCCAAACACTTCTCAGGCCAAGACTGCTGAAGGATCCTCCAATGCTCAACCTTCTACCGCCGTTCCGAAAACTCCCAAAAAGCCTGTCTATTCCAGTGAGCCTAGCCTTTGTTCAAGTTTTTTTCTTCTTTCCATTGAATTTCATCAAGTATTAACGGGTCTGAGACGTTCCCCTAAATCATTCTGTGTTTTTGGGCAGTGAAGAAAGGTCAGATTGTGAGGGTGGACAAGGAGAAGTATCTCAATAGCATCAATGTAAGTAGGAGAACCATTTTCCCTCTTTTATCAATAGATTAAACTGTCACAGTTTTGCCCGTTTACGTGGATGAATTTGACTATTTCAGTACCTCTCTGTTGGGCACCCACCTTATTACAAAGGATTAGACTACATTTATGAAGACCGGGGCGAGGTAAATAGCAAACTGTGTTGAACGCTATAAGAAGTATGGACCAATTCGTGTCATACACAATTACACATTACAATTCTCTTGTGTCATGTAGGTCTTGGACCTTCGTATATTTGAAACAGGAGAATATGCACTTGTAAGTGACTTGTATGTGACTTCAGATGTTATTTTGCGTCCATAATGCCATTTCTTTTTTGTTTTGGGTTAAATGCAACCACAGAAGCTGCAATAATTGATTGAACCTGCAGCTTCTTTACCGTACCAATGAATAATGATTATATGTGGGTTGAGCAAAGTCAGGTTTGACTCGTGAAACTGATGGCATCCCAGATAAAGTACTCTGTTAACAGAATTGTGAGGTGCTGAGATTTCTTCTGATAGAACTCTTGCTTCATTGATAGATCGCATGGGTAGGAATCCCCACAGCTCCAGCCTGGCTTCCTACAGACATGCTTATCAAGGTACGTTTTCTTTTGTTTTCTTTTTTTTTGGGTTACAATATCAAGGCACGTTTTCACATATGCCAATGGTCAACATTTAAGGTCGATATTATTGCTTGGCTTGTTCTGTATCTAGACATGATTCTTATAAACACCTCAACAGCAGATGATTCACATCCCAAACCCAATTCTAATAGCATTAAAAATCTGAAGCGAATAGGCTATCTTTCTACGCAAATGCATTATTAATTGAGTTGACCTGATTCTGTGTCCCTTACAGTCAGAGAAGCTCAACTATGATAGACTGTGACCTTGGCTTGGAGAACGAAATTATGCTAAAAAGGGGAGAATTCACATTGTTTTTCTGAAGTTGCAAGATAGAAGGACTATAATTGATTGGTTTAGAACACCATTGCCACTTCATACAGCATCTTCGATGAAGAATTATGTAATCATTTCAAATGAGTTGTAAACCATTTGAGATAATCATAATCGCCAGCCAGCAAAAGTTTTTAGTAATAATTGAACTGTCATTTTACAAGTCTTCAAAATAAAATAAGGATCAAATTTCATTCACAGTAAGTGGAGTCATCAGAAATTCAACAAGAATGAATGAATCAACATGCAAATAATATTCGTCTTCATTTGCATTTATAAGATTGGTAAAACAAGCCAAAAGGAAGGAAAAGTATTCGCTAGTATAAATGACAAAAAAGCAACTCTCTTGATTAGGTGGTTAGGCGATAAATGTAGAGCGGGATTTTAGTGATACAAGGGTAATACATTCAATGTGATATTTAAAAATAAATGAACTTATTGTGCACATCAATAACGAACAAATGTAGTCGTCCAACAATGCCGTGTAACTACTAAGCACCCTTTCAATGACCATAAAGGCTTGCTACTTTTGGTATATGATTCACCTTATGTAAAGGGAGACTCATATGATACTTCTGCATATGATTCCCTCCGCCTTCTGCATCAAAATCCCGAACAGACGAAGCAAACATGATCATAGCAAACACCTTATGTATGATACTTCTGCATATGATTCCCTCCGCCTTCTGCTTATTCTTGTAAAGTATCCCAGCAATGGAGATGCTAGTTTGACAAATAACAAGAAAAGCTCTCTCACAATCTATAAAGAATATACCTCTAAACAAGCAAATATAAATGATTTAGCCCCTCTTGGGACGTTTATCGGGATTCAGAAGTCCCACCAATGAGGGAAGGGGTTCAGGCACAGGAACGTTCATTAACCTATACATCTTTTTGACACCTGCACTAAAGCCTGAAGATCCAATGTTTAAATAGGAGGGAGTCTTGTGAATTCTTGTCTCCAGCTCCTGTCATTGCAGATATGGTATTTTATGTAATTTGCTTTTGCTTTCTACTGACTCGTCCAATTGTACTTCAGCATCTTCCTGTTGGTACAAGGATTCGTGTCCTGCATTGCTTGAAGCAGTTTGTGAAAGGCCACTCGTGGGTACAATATTACACCCTCCATGTGAAAAATTAACATCTTGAAAACCAAGTCTCGCTCTGCCAAATAATGTAACAGGCAACTTGCCTGGAAGAGACAACTCTACGAGTGCCTTTATCTCAGGGCTCTGTTTAACAGGTGATTGAGTTTGAGCACAAGGCTGAGGGATCTTTTCAAGCACATGTTTGTTGTTCACAGATTTAACCAATGTATCAGCATCTGAACTAGTCTCCACAGTCATATCCAGAATCTTACAGAGAGATTTATTCAGAGCTATGTTTGAGTTGAAACAATGCTGCTTAACATAACCTAGCTCCATGGCCCTGCAGCTGGGGGTTGTTGAAACAACCCACCTAGGTGAAAGAAGTTGAAGTGCCCATTCTAATTCTTCTTTAGATGAGTGAATTGAGTAACAGACATGCCAAACACCAAACTGATCCTTAACTGCTTCATGCATTCTCTTTTTCCTGGCGTTCTCAAATTCAGAGAACTCGTCTTCACAAGCATACCACTGTGAAGAAGGGCGCATAATGAGAGGCTCAGGCTTGTGATTACGCCTGGCCTCCACAAGCTTTCCTTTTGCTCTTTCATATAGTCCTGGAGATCCATCAAATATATGGAACCGAGAAGATGGATCTTGACTAAGGATTTCAGGTGCTACAAGATTCAGATTCTGGAAACATTCTGGGTTTTCGGATTTATCAACATATATCTTGGCTCCAAATGTTTTAGACACATTAACAAGAATTTCTTCCTGACCAAGGAGGTCACAGATTAGATACACTGTCAATGCATTGTGATGCTTCCAAATACAATTAATAACCTGCTTCACAGTGCCATAAGTTAAACCGTGAGAATCATCACTAAAATATGCACCCACTTATAAATTGGAATTGCCAGTTTGCTGCGTGTAAAAAAAAAAACAAAAACAAAAACAAGGACACTGCTAAATTCCAGCATATGTAAATGGTTTGTGGGTAAGGGAAGACTGCCAGTTGAAGCCGTTAACATCAAGAAGAGATTTACCGGAATTTGGGAAAAATCTGCCAATTATTCATCTGAAATAAACTTTATATAAGAATTTTACCATACATGTACAATGAACACCTGAATTATTTCACGTTTTGAATCAAGTCATTCAATTATTATGATGCAACCCTGCTGTTCAACAACTAAGAATGCAGAAATAATAACAACAAACAACCAACAAATCAAGGGAAATGCTAAGGTTTGATATTAATGATTCCAAAAGACTAAATCAGTGTTACAAAGGTACTTTACTGATTCAGAACAAACCCTATTCCCTGCTACAACTAAAATACTCAAACAGCAACCATGGAACAAGAACAAATGCAATGCTATCTAAGCATGCCCTCTGTTTTTCGAAGGCCAGTCTCTCCTCTTAGCAAAAATACAAAAAATCACTTGAATCTCCAAAATGACACTAACAACTACTATAACCCAAAAGCAACTTGCACAGTTTCCCACACCTCTTTCTGCTAAGGCAGACCTAAAACCACCCTGAGTCAACACTAACTCTGCCTAGCTTTCTCCTCAAGAGTAAGGAGAGCAAGAAGGTCAACATTCTGCCCTTAGAAAGATGCTTTCCCTTTTCATGTATTTTCCTATATTTCCCCTTGTAGGTTTTTCCAGCAGAGTCTATCATATTATTACAAAAAAAAAAAAAACAATGATGCCATTAAAATGCTTCTTTGAGCTCAATAAAGTATATGCAAATTGCAAAGTTGGGACTCTCAAAGATGCTTGTCATACCACATAACTATTTCGTTGAAAAGGCCAAAATAAATTGGCTGTTGCATCAAAATGTACCTCTTGAATTGCAGAATGCTTGCTAGGCATCCCCTGGGAGAAACTTCCAAAAGTACAGTCTAAAAAGACACAATCCAGTTGACAACGTGGATCTTTTCCCTTCTTCCCTGTATACTTTTCAGGTAAATTCTGTAGGCACTCAGGACTAAGTCTGCAATCTCCAGTGTGTAAAATATTACCAAACTTGCCTTCAAATAAGAACATTACGGCTCCTGAAAATTGATGAAATTCACACCAAATAAAGGAAAAAAAAGATAATTAAACCCCGTCCAAATATTTCTTCATTCTCATACAACCACTAAGTTTGCACTCAAAATCAAACTCCCTTCATACAAAAATCAAATCACGAATCATCCACATAGTTTAAATATAAACGAACAATGATATTAAATCTTAATGATTCCGTGCAACTCATACCAGTTAAATTATCTAATTTGAAGACATAAAAATAACTCATTTTTTACCGAAGAAGAAAACGAAGAAATAACTCAATCGATTACTGGAAACAACAGAATTCACTGCAATATGACCCAACACTACTAAAAAAATTACCTGGACAGTGATTCGCATCAAAAACTGTAACAGCGAAGGCCCCATCAGGATCATCAATAACAATGGATTGGCCCACCTCAATACCGACAAACAACGAATCTTCAAGCTGCGAAAACAGAGGAAAATTAAATTCAAACAGAGACACCTCGAGAGACCAGTAAACATACGAATAGGCGGGGGGAAAAATAGAACAAATAATAACCTGGGGGTAATGTTGAAGAACAAGGGTTTTGGTAAAGTGAGTACAATAAATTGGGAATGAGGCGTGGGAAGAAATGCCAGAAGAGTGGTCTTTGTGGGCATGTGTGAGGAAATGGTACCTCTTTCTCATGGACGATGGAGTCCATGTGTCCACTGAGAAAGGCAATCCTTTGGGCATTTCTATTGGCATTTTTTCCTCTTTCTCTTTCGCTTATGGAAAAGAGAAAGACGAACGAACCCCAGAGACACGCAAGTCCGAAGGAGAAAATCTTTTATTTAAGAAATCTCATCTCGGTCCAGGGATGGAGGCTCTATCAAACCGACCACGGATGACGAAGGAACTGAGGCTTTGATGTGAGGCGCAATTTTGGAGCCAATTAGCCAAAGCGCGAATCAACGAAATGTGTAATTGAAGAAAAGGAAGAGGCGGGCGGTGGGACTCGTCACCCGTGAGAGCAAGGGAAGAGAATGATGAAATAATTCAAATTAATCAACTACCCCTGAAATCTTCACTCTTTTTTCCCTTTATAGTTTGGCCAAACTGAAGATTATGTCATGCTTTTTAAAAAGCACTAAATTATCACGGTATCATTGTGTTCCCAAGCCACATTTTCTTTTCTTTTTTTTTTTCCTTGCCTCCCAAACCATATTTCATCGCTATGGAATTAAGCAAATAATAAACATTATTGTATTATACTTTCTTCTGCATATTACATCAATTAAATCAGCCATCTATTCAAACTTCTATAAAAATGGCTTTCAAAAAAATATACAAAGTAAAACAGGAGACACAGAGATAATTTCTTATCTTGACATGTTTGGCATACATTATTTAAGTTATCAATAATAATAATAAAAAAAGGCTGCCTTCACAAAAGGGACCTAGGGATATAAAGGACGTACATAAGCCTCCTTCACTATTAAGAAAAGTTGTTTCCTTCCAAAAATTATATGAAAATGTGATCCTTATATGAGTAGAGATTAATGTTAAACCTTAGTTCTGATAATTATAAAATAAAAAAAAAATTTGTATAGATCTTAATTTGTATTTAATGACAATTAAGGGTAATTGGCTTATATACCCAATCCCTATCATCTTACATGAAGCTCTAGGTGTCTTTAAATTTACTGTTGGGATAAGTATTTGATTTATCTTAAATTCTTTTGTGAATCTATCTTAGGTTTTGAAAAAGTGTAGCTTGAATTTAATTATGCTTTTAACACTTGGAGTTTATATTTTGAGTTAAGAGTTTTTGAAATATTTGGTTTTGACTTTTATTCAATATTTTCCCTATATTTCTTTATATACAAATATGTTTAGTATGAAACTTATTTCATTTGAAATTAGACTAGTAAAGCTTTCTAAAGAACTTTGATTCATTCAAAATATATTTTATATGAGATTTACATAACAAAATTTGTGATTGTTTAAATAAAAATTGTAATTAAGATAATAAAACTAGACCCGTTATTTTTATTTTAAACAAGAGAAAATTTAATTATTTAACCTAAAATCATTAATGTCAAAAAAGCACTCACTCAGTTAAAAAATGTAAGGTATTTTTTGAGGAGTTGGATGTTAAAAAATATAAAACATTTTTAGTTTTTTGAGATGTAATCATTATCTTTTTTTTAAAAGTATCCCTATTGATAATAATTTTATATTTATTATAAGATAAATATGAAAAGATAGAATTAGTTTGAAAATAAGTAATTACTTTATTGAAAGGTGAGATTTAATTAAAAATACTTTATATACTTAAATGAAGGGAATATTAGATAACTTCAGAGAAATTAAAATATTTCAATAGACCTGGTTGTTATTTATATATTTTTATAAAATTTTATTTCATTTTTCCATTTGGTTATTGTATAATTTTGGTGGAACGCTAGTGGGCAGTGGCTAGTAGTTGAATGCATAAGGATCCATAGTAATGGTTTATCCTGTCGTGAGAAGTGAGAACTCTTAATTTTTGAGATATCATGATGGTAATTTTAGACTTAAAATAAATAATGATGACAATCTAGTTAATGTAAATTTATTTTATAAATTATAAAAATTAAATAAAAATTATAACTTCGTATATAAAATTTGTTTTATCATTAAAATTCAAGTTCTAAAAGTAACCATTTACAATTTTTATTTAAACAATCACACCTTTTATTTTATAAATAATAAAATTTGAATAAAAAATTACAATTTTTTATTTAAATTTATTAATTTTTTTTAATTTCAAACGAGAGGTAATTTAATCATTTAATTCAAAATCATTAATGTCAAAAGGTGCCTAAATTTTAGAAAAATTATTGTATCTTGAGAAACATGATTATTATTTATATATTTTGATAAAATTTTATTATTTTTCCTAACCAAATTATCCCCCATGTATTTTCTTTGAAAACAATTATCGCATACAGAAGTTCTCTTATTCAAGAAAATAAAATTTGAACATGATTAGTTACTTATTTTCTTAATTTCATAATTAGCTTTGAATATATAAAATTTTTTTGCCAAGGACATTACCTTGTCACGAAAAGACGGCAATAATTTTTTTCAAATTTCAATACATTGTAATAAAAATATTCTAGTTCACGTTAAGTTATATTATATTGATAAATACTTTAACATTAATCACTTAATCCTATCAAAAATTATAATAAATAAAACACAAGATTTAAATACTATAACTAATAACTTACGTGAAAATTGTTAATATTCCTTGAACAAAAGAAAAATGAATTGTAATATAATCAATTTAATTTAAAAAGATATATTTGACAAAATTTAATTAATTAATTAATTATTACTCCCCTTCTCTTCCAGACTAAACAAAGCAACACTACAATTCCTTCTGTTTCCCCACAATTATAACCTTTGCGCTGGCTCAGCCAAACACCAAAACCAACAGTTTTGCCAACCAGAAAACCCTGAAAGAAAAGGATTGTTATGGAAAAATTGCTTTTTCTTTCCTTTCCGCTTCTGCCATAAACTAATATACAACATAAAGTGTACTGTATAGGCAGTTAGCACTTGGCACCTTGCATTTACAATACTCAAGTATTTGCTACAGGCAGCCAAGGTCTCCGCAGTCCCTATGCATTGAACGCTTAAGGTCATTGCCTTCTCCCTTTGTCTGCTTCTCATGTTTAAAGAATCAATTAGAATCTTTAATAGGGAGTCTCTGCTTCAGATTGAAGTTCAACCCAGAGCCCACCACGCATGCAAGGGAGGGAGACCAAGAAAGATTTAGTTCTAATGGTATTTACACTCGGTTCAAATGAGTCTCCGTCTTGGGGACCCACCAGGCGTATGGGCGTTATATAGGGATCTCTCATTCCAAGGGTCTAGATTAAAGGTAGCGTTTGATCTCACTGGATGTGAACAGATATCGCTAAAATTGTAGGTATTTTGTCCCATCGTGCTGTAAGTTGGATGTGGAGGAGAAAGCATACAGCTCTTGTATGCTGATCCATGTTGTCGCAACGGACTTGAGCAGGGAGATACCGGTAAAGATGTAATCATTCTTGTGTTATCTCTGAACAAGGGAATTGCAATCACCAGGTCAGTCTACATGATAGATAAACCAGGTCATTACAATAAATTAAAAAAAGATGCAATATCTTACCTTGGGCTCCTTAATCCTCGAGAAGCCGCAAAAGTTGGCTTTGTTGCATAATCTCCATCCACTGAAGTCATATTCGTTCTACTGGAATGAAGCTCTACATGTGGCTGCAATCCAATCCAAATAACGAGTTAGATCCAGCTCACATATCCTCACAACTAAGCAACTATAAATCTCAACTTGTGACTTTACATTAATCTGATAATTCCTGTTCGACATTAGTTGCGTATCAAATATTATACTAATTTAACTGAAGAAATGAAAAACAAACTTTAGTGTCAAAGCCCAAAAAAAATATATATATACATTCCTTACCTAACATTAAGGGGGATAATAAGCTCTTAATAAAGCTAGATACTCTAAACCACGGTAAAGTTGTATCTGTATATTATTCTCATCATTCTTACGGCAACCCCTTTAGTTGTATAAATATCTTATCACTATTATGGCACCCCTTTTAGTCTATTATTCAGCCTCAATTTTCTCACATCCATGTCTATATTAACTTCATCGTGTGGCATCCCAAGAATAAACTAAGGTAAAAGAGGGTTAGAATTAGACAAGCACAGCGACCAACCAATAGACATGACAATCAATCAACTTTTTTCCCTTGCGATGGACAAGTAATGCCTCACTTCAGAATCAAAATGAAATTAGAAATCATATTTCAAATTCTTGATCACTGATTCATAAAGAACACTTAATGGATATAGTTAACACTCCTTAAATCTTTGCATTATTTGGTATTCTGAAGTCTGATAGTGTTAACACAATACATACAAGTTCGGATATATAACACATTTACATGCATATTAAACAAATCTAGTAAATATTGCAACCACCATGACATAATAAGAATACAGTGCCCCTGCATATGAATTCTGGTATAGCATGTTCTCATGAAAGTATTTCCCAATTATTATTGCATTTTTTATGTTATTGTAGTAATTGCCTAACTCCAAATGATCCTTTCATCCAAACTCATAAACATTAGCAACAAGCTAATACTATGAAAATAGCGCATACTGTATATTGTTTAAGTTCCCGTGAGTCGAGATTGGCACCCATTAAATCAAGGCAAATTTATCCTTGCAAATAAAATAAATAACAATCAAATACAATACCGGTGTCCGGCTTCCATCAAACATGTAGGGGAAAGCATCCCTGGTTAAGCTGACATTTGCAGCTCTTGTTGCAGATTGATCACGAATAAAGGGATGCTCTAGCAACCTTTGAGCAGCTGGGCGAGCTGATGGATCTCTTTGTAAGCATAGCTGTATGAAGGACTTAGCATCATTCGAAAGATGCTCTGGAATTTCAGGCATATCTTTGCTGTTCCCAATTTTAAATATAGCAGCTACCTGTTTAATCCGACATAAGAAATCACATCGGGCCTTCATATTATGTCATAGGGTCATAAGAAATATGACAATACAGGCCAGTTTCTAAAATATCCAAAATCGCACCCCTTCATACTGACTCCATGGAGGCTTTGATGTCGCCATTTCCAGAATTGTGCATCCCAAGCTCCATACATCCACAGCAAGATTGTAGCCATTTGTATTCATAACAACCTAAAACAGAAATTATAAGGATTCAGCACCACTTACAGTGGAAGAGAGAATAATATATTTGTTTCTAAAGGAATTGCACAATCTCAAGGGAGGGGGGATTTTACCTCAGGTGCCATCCAATATGGACTTCCCTTGAAAGAAAGCATGGAGGTAGAAGAATTTATCTGTCCAAAACAATTGAAACTCAGATGATTGTCATCATAAATCAGAAGCCAAATAAATAGAAACTATTTGTTTTTTAGCTCCCCAAGCTAGATTCGCTTTCTACAAGCAAATTCCATGCCCTATTGTTCTAAAGACCAGTGTGGGAGAGAGACAATGCAGGACTCAGGTAAGTCATACTTGGGCTATTCATATTAAGTACGGATGTTACATGAGATTAGCGGAGAAAATAGCTAGTCAGAAGTATATCA